AACTCACCGAAATTCACCAGAAACTCCAGTTTTTTTCTTTTTCCAGAAGCAGATTCATAAACACTCCAAATTCTTTGCTCAAGTTGAAACATTTTGAACTTATCACATCTACTTGCGTCTTTCTGTGGACTTTGTATGCAGTCGCACTGGCTCTAAAACTTGCTTTGCGTTCTTTTCTCTTGCTTTTGGCCTTCCATTCATATGGATCTTTTATACCCGAAAGCACAGCTTTTCTAATGCGGTTGTAAGACTGGATAAATCTGAAAACGCTGGCCCTGTGGTCGAGTGGAGAACTAGGCGTTTGGAAGACGATGACCAGGTCAGAGGCTGTGTAGCAGTTAAGGAACAGACAACTTTCTGCTGCGTCTTAAGGGGTCAGTATGCTTTAAACAAAGTGCTTGTCTGAAACCTCTCACCAAACAGAAGCATGCCCACTTCACTCAGCATTTGGCAAGATGTGTGGAACTTCTGTTTTCACTAATTTTTTTAATATATCACACCATTATTCGTATGTACCATTATTATTATTACGCCATGAATGCCTTCGAAGAAAGATTGAAGTATGCTGCTAACCACATTTAAACAAGTATTGCCCCTCTCCACCCTCTTTTATTCAGGCTAATAAAACTGGTAAATTCTGGTCTAAACAGTTCCTGTTGTCTGGCTGGTCGGTGAGGTGAGGAAAGGAAAGCAGCCCTGCAGGGGCACTTTACGGATTCTAACATTCTCAAAAGATTTCTTCACATACGTTCCACAACATCCGCCACAGACATTGTGAAACACAATACATTTACCACAGATGCACACACTTATGCACATAAGTGTGCATGTGTGCCGCATTCCAGAGACCAATACACTCCAACTCCCTCACACTGTAAGGACAAGACTTCCAGGTCATTAACCTACACTGTGACACAGAATCAGTCTTATTCTGAAGAATCACTGTTTGCCTCCCCCCGGATGTTCCTGTCACTGAATATCAAAGGATTGTAGTCTTTTTGAAATATAATATGATATTTCCACTCCCATAAACATCTTCATAATTCTCTCTTATTGCCCAGTTTGTCCACCACATCCTTTTGCCCCGTCTTTCTCCACTCCCTGCTGTATCTTTGCACTTTCTGCAACCTCTCTTTTAGTTATTTTACTTTGATTTTTCTTCTTTTTTAGAGGTACTTGAACTGAGGCAAAAAGCAATTTGTGCATGTGTGTGTGTGTGTGTGTGTGTGTGTGTGTGTGTGTGTGTGTGTGTGTGCACGTGTTTGTGTGTGTGAGTAGGGGGAGTATGGCTGTGATAAGGGACAGGGAAGTGGAGTACTTAGACATAGATGGATGATGTTTTTCTCACCCCAAGCCTCACTCCAAGATTACAGTTTCTCATTCTGTTCTTTACAGCCACCAAGCAACTAGTTTCTTTTCTTTTTTCCTTTTTTGTTTTTTTATTTCATACATGTCACAGGAAAAATACAAGTGGAATGTTTTGCTAATAAATAAAACAATATTATGCTTCAGATTATGCTCCCTTTCTCTCACATAATATATTGCCCCCTTGTTTCTTTGCTTTTTTCAGTTAACACTCATAAGGTTGGAGAAATTGGGTGAGGAAAAAAGATGAGAAAAGCAGCTTTTAAGAAAGTGAAGGCTGACTGTGAGAATATATGAATCCACTTAAAAAACAAACTCTGATAGAGGTTAAAGTGAATCTTAATCATAACCAAGTTAAATATTGTAAAATAGCACTTTTCATAACCTATTGTCACATACAGTAGCTTTTTTAGTATTTGTTCAATTTAAAATCAAAATAAAATGTCCTCCTACAATCCCGCCTTTTTAATCTAATGTAGTGACTGTTTTTACCTTTTAAAGTCAAATTGAAATATAAAGTAATGAAAAATATGCACAATAGCCGCAGTTATTGTGCATATTTTTCAAAAAGGGATAAAACTGTTTATGGACATATTTGTGGAAACAGCAGGCCTCAAGCCTCTAGGTTTCCATGGCAGCATGAGAGCCAAGTTGCTAGGAGACGCGTTGTGATCATCATAACCCTTAGCGTGCAAACAATCAAACAGCCTGAGTTGTGTGCCGTTCATTTTTGGAAGAACTCCGTTGTGCTGTTAAATTTGTACTCTGTTGCAAAGTGGAAGCTAGCAAGCTAAGCTAACTAACTTATACCTTGTTAGCCTAGCTTGCCAACATTACCTGTGGTACCGATTCTTCCCACAGCTGCCAAGTCAAATAGAAATCGCATTAATCAAAGGTTTCAGTGCTGAGAGCGTCCATCAGAACAAATTCACCCGGCCTTGAGTACACACTAGTGTAGGAGGTAGATGTTTTTTAGTTTCACCTTTTAGGTAATAAAAGTTTTGACCAGATAAATACACCATGGATAAATATAAAAGCTACCAACCTTTGTCTTAAAGCATCATGCCCAGTGTCTTAGTCATAACAATTTATATATATGATACAATATAAGCCCATTTGTTCGACAAGACATTCCCATAAGAATGTAACATGGTAGATCCACTGTTTCTCAACATATGCAGTTGTTTTAATCATTTAACAAAAGTGTTTGTGTGTGTGACAGAGAGAGAAATGATAATGATCCGGGGCATCAGGTGTCCCCCTCGGTGGCCCTGCGAGCAACATCTGGAACCCGTCCCTTCGTGGTGACATCACACATACCAGCCTAACCTTTGACCCACAAACCGGCTAATTAGCAGCATGTCCCTCCATAACTTCCAGGGTCCCGTCTTTTCTCTCTCTCCATCTTTCTCACTTACCCCCCTCTCCACCTGTTGCTTGGTGTCACTTTTTTGGGAGGGTGGGGGGGAGGAAGCAGTCACTGAGAAGGTTTTTCTAAACACCCGCAGTACATTGTTTTACCGTTCATATGAAGGTCCTTTAGAAAACATGTCTGATGACTAAACAGGCTCAGAACGGGAACATTCAGATGCGCAATTGTGTTATCAAGTGACAGATGTTAGCTTTAAACCCATGAGAATTAAAAACCTTTGTACAAATGAATGTTATGATGGTATTACATCAGGGTCTGTGTTTTATTGACGCACAGGGCAGAGTAGAAGGGCTGTGCTCTGTTTCACAAGCTATTTTAGTTCATCTCCCTCTCCCTGATTCTCTCTGTTACTCTCTGGTGGATCCATGTATCTCAGAGGTGATCATCAATCTAGCAGACTCTATTATTACTTTTCCACAAAGTGCTTTGATTTCCAGCCCACCCAGGAGATTAAACCCCTCCTTCCTTTCTTTCCTCTCCCTCCATCCCTTCACCTATGTATTCCTTTATCCTTTCTGTCTTTCTGTCCACTCTGCATGGCGCAATCTCTCTGTTTTTCTTTCAGTATCAATCCTGTGAACTTTTTTCCAAAATGTCTTCTTCTCTTGTAATATCCATTTCTAACTGGGTCCAAAATGTATCTCCATGTTAAGTATGTTTCTGTATTGTGTAAATACTAGTGGATAAAACACAGAGGTGGTGCCTATTTAGTGCACTGTGACACCGGAAGCAAAGGGGTTATAGGTCAGCTCTCAAGAGACACACCTCTCATCCTTGCACACACTTCAGCTGTGCTGGCAAAGGCGTTGAGTTCACAAACACACACACACACACACACACACACACACACACACACACACACACACACACACACACACACACACTCTCTCTCTCTCTCTCTCTCTCTCGCTCTGTTACACACACAAACACACAATCCTGCATCCCAGCAAGAAAGAACTGCAGTTTAATGCACATGTGCACACAATATTTCAGGCTCTCAGTATCACTCACAATGAATCTATATACAAAGTAAGTCAGCAAAATGCACACAACTATCATCACTGTTCTTCTGGTGCAACCCAGCGTTTTTCCACTTCAAGCAGCTCCAGAGAACTCCGGAGACTTGGTTGTTTGGACTTGGCCCTGAGTGGACCAGTGCATGGAGCATCGGTGTGGAATGATGTGGAAGGCCAAACAGGGGATTGTGGGTGCTGGGTATCCATTACATCAGAGGGGACCAAGGCGCCAGTTTGCCATTTGAGACGTGACACCGCCCTGTCCTTGCACTTTATCCTGTTAACTGGCAAGATGTGCTGAAAGTTACACAGGCCCTGTGGGTGGAACAGGCTAATACCAAACACTTAGAAATTTTAATTATAAGGTAGTGTGTATAGTATAGAAGAATATAATTGATTGATTCATGTTTTAATTGTAAAAAATAGTACATTTTCCCCAAAATATTTTAGATTTAAAACTGTGAATTCAGGAGGCGACACACTCGTTAAGACAACAAATTACTCTTTGGTTCATTTAAAAAGAACTATATGTAAAAACACCCTAATAACACAAATGAGCATTTGTTTTACCCAAATTAAATGAAAATAAACATCTTTATACCAAATTATAACTACAACATGATACATAAAAAAACAGTGATTTTATTTTGAACCCTAGTGTTCTGTATTCAGTAACTGCTGTTACTGACAGAAAATCCAATTGATCTCCTTCACGTAAAGGTGCAACAAAAATGGGCCTTGCTACCAGTTCACTACACATCTTTAGAACCTGCTATCACTCCTAATTGATAGATTTGTTTTAATGTTTACATCAATAATATATCTAACCATCAGAAGTTTAAAACCCTGAACATGTATGTGAATATTACAGTTTGAGGCTATGTGTGTTTCTATAGGCCCCAGACTTTTAACAGACAGGCCTCAATGTAAAGTTTAAGTTCTTGAAAAGGTTCCCACGTAAAAAAACAAAAATAATAATTCAGTTAGGAATCCATCTTCTAAAAAGGAACGAATACTTTTTGAGCAAAACGCTATTTACACTATATATTCTGCATTTCACTGGAGACACATCCACTGTCCCTTGGGGTCCTCCCTTTAGGAACCAGCATGTTAGCTCAGCACCAGTGTCTCCTCCCAGCATGAGGTAACGCCCTCTTTCGCCATGGAGATAAAAACTCTGCTCCGTTCATGAACTCATCTCCAAATCGTGCGTCCGTCCACCCTGTTCATTCCTGTCCAGCCTAAGCTTCCTGCTCCCATGTTTTGAGCCCGCTCCAGTCGGAGACAGTTCACCATGTCCACCGGGTCCCTCAGCGATGTCGACGACGAGCTCCTGGACGGCATCCTGAAGTTTGGCTCCTCCGGTAAAGATTCCAACGAGAGCACAGAGGAGAGCTCCAACTGCGAGGGCACTTGCGCAAATGACGCGCCGGGCAAGAAACGGAAGACAGCGTCCCGGAAAACGGCACCCAAGGGTGTGGCACAGCAGGAGGGCAAGCACGTGCAGAGGAACGCGGCCAACGCACGGGAGAGAGCCAGGATGCGTGTCCTGTCCAAAGCCTTCTCCCGGCTGAAGACTACCTTACCCTGGGTACCACCGGACACCAAGCTCTCCAAACTGGACACACTGCGCCTGGCGTCCAGCTACATCGCGCACCTCCGGCAGATACTGGCCAACGACAAATATGAAAACGGATTTATCCACCCCGTTAACCTGGTGAGACTGGGGTATGGGGGGGGTATTTAAAAATCAGACTAAGGGAAAGTTAAAGCGAGGTTTAAAAGGTAGGCCTAAACTCTGAAAGGTAGGCTGAACTGAATTTAGTTAAAACCATAATACTGGTTAGGTTTGTTTGCCTAATGATATTAACATAATGAGTGATTGTGTTTTATTTAAGGCTACACCACTAGAATGTATATATATATATATGTATGTATCTGGATTCTAACCTGGGTTGTAAGGCCCCGTATGTTCGTTAACAGCGCCAAAGTGACAAATAAGGGTGATAGCTTTGCGAAGCAGGTGCATGAGAGGGAGAAAAGCAACAATTGATGCTTTTTAGTCACAATCTGACTCAGAGCAAGTACCAACCGTTATGAAGCATCATGATCATGATGCTGTAGGCCCATCATTTATGTGAGAGAATAATTTAGAAATAATGCAGCGGTTGCAGAACAACACTGGGGCCTTAAATCATTACCTGAAAATAACTTTATTAATTGTGCCAGATGTCAAATATTATTGCAATGTTTTAAAAATAGAAATTCGACAAAACACTATAAAGTCACTGTTATAATAAGATTATAAGAGTATTACAGATCAGATTTTTGGAGCTGCAGAGCCAAAACTTTTTTTTATTCTGTGCATGAACATCTGGTGATAGTCTGTTCTTGCCTGGAATTAATTATTCAGCAGATCCTTGCAGGTGATTAATCGACTCATGGTCTGAATTTCGATGTATTTATTTAATGCATTAATAGGCTAAGAAGATCTTTGTCCTAATTGGCTCTATTTTTCCTTTTTTTTCTTCCGCAGACGTGGCCTTTCATGGTCGCAGGTAAGCCGGAGACCGATTTGAAGGAGATGCTGAACACAACAAGGTTATGTGGAACAACGGCCTCCTGACGAAACCAAGCGGACACCTCTATAAGTCTTTAAAGGAACAATGATTTTCCACGAAAAAAGAAAGATTTGTGACTGAAACGCACGTCTCATCTCCGCAGACTTTGAGTGGGAACACGGAGAGAGAGAGAGAGAGAGAGAGCATCCCCCCTCTCCTTCGTTCCCGTAAAGAGAAATTAAATTTTATTTAAATGCATTCTGTCACCTGTTGTTGTCTTTGCTGGTTCAAAGATAAATGCTTTAAATCGCTTTTTTTTTAATACTCCGCAGATGCATTTTTTTTTTTTTTTACTCATGCAGGCCTGCATGGCGGCTGCATTGTGATGGATGGATGAGCACATGAAACGTTCAAGTGTCCACTGTCTCAAATGGTTGTACAGATTACATGTATATAAAATATATTTGTATCACTTTTACACCTCGTGTACTGAATGTTTTCTTTTTCTTTTTCGTTGAAATCTGTTTTGACTCCGTGTGTGGGCCAGTGCTCTGACCCAGTAACCCCTCTTATCGCTCCACTCCTTCAGAAAAAGCAGAACCTGAGCACCAACGAAGCGTCAGCGCAGATAAGTCTCTCTCTGTTGTTTCTAAAAGATAACACTGGACGTGGTTGTCATTACATAAACAAACTTTTGCCTTCAAAGATTATTTGGGACCCAAAAGCAGTTAGTCCTCTTGTAGTTTAAACAAGTCAAATTAAGTTTATCTCCCTGCCAATTTCACTGATAAATGTGGGCCTGAGAAAAGGTGTGCGGAATAAACTACAGTGCGAGATTTGTAGTTTACTAAAACTGGTCTATTTCACCTTTAAATATTCAATGTAACACTTAATTGCGGACTTTATTTATGACAATAACACAGCTTGTTTATTTCTGAAACAATCCTTTCACTACCGGTGTGTCCAGCAATGTGATTTTCAGTCAGCATAACTACATTTAGTCTGATTAACCATCAGGTGTGCAATGATTGGATAGTCTATTTTGGATTCAGCCAATCAGAAGTGAGGACCAGAGCAGCGCGTTGAGGTCATTTTAGACATTTTGAAAGTTGTAAAAAAGAAAAAAAAAGAAAAGAAGCTTTAATCCCGCCCAGACCAGTTGTTTTAATTCGCTCGGGTTATGACCGCTATGTTTACATCATGACCGACAGTTATTTATGCAGTCTGACACGCGGCCTCTCTCTCTCTCTCTCTCTCTCTCTCTCTCTCTCTCTCTCTCTCTCTCTGTCTGTCTGTCTCTCTCTCTTTCTGTGGTTTGTTGGGTTTAAGTGTCCACATGGTACATCAACATCACCAGCATCTCTCTGCTTTCTCCTCCTTTTTGTCTAGATGTGGTTGAATGCTAAGAAAGCACAACCTGCCAAAAGCTGCAGAACTCCATTCACATTCAGAGGCTGTGCTCTAAAATAAAACACACATTTATACTATTTGAAGCACAAGTGAAATTGCATTTGTTTGCACATTTAAAGAATAAATGCACATTCACATAGGCCTACTGTCTTTTTCTTTATACAATTCTTAGGACCATGTACTATTATACCTCTGCCCCATATTTTTTTAGAGGCATTGTAGCATATTCATTTGCATTGTTCTGACAGCTATTAAAGTTACTTTAAAGATACATTTTACATACAAACATTTTGATGAGTTAATAGAATATGATAGCCTGCATTGTCATGGATCAACCTATACCCAACAGAATACGGTCAATCATTACGAACTACAGTTATTACAAAGCCATAGCCAAGGTTGTAGAAAAGAGAAATGCTGATTAATTATGCTAATTTAAATATCTTCCATCTATAATCCATCTAGCTAACCAGACTAAAATACGCAGGCTCCCTTTAGGTCATAACAGTAAAACCCACATATTTCCAGAAAAAGTAGAGAGGACATGCAGTGGTAGCTATGGCACAGGGGTTAAAGCATTAAAATGCTGTTTACACAGTAATGCCTCGGTAATGATAATCCAACAATTTTACACTGACTTCAGTCATTCTGCTTCCGAAATGAGCATCATACTTCTGTTTTTGATACTATGGTAAATTTTGCCAGTAAAACATCTATATGTTTGCTTAAGAATATTTTGTATGCTTGACTTTAACTTCTACTGGAGTATTTTTTAGATATTTAGAGATATTGTTACTTTTACTAAGTAAAGGATATGGATACATGTGCCGCCAAAGCACAAACAAAGTTTCACTAAATTAATATTCCTTTCTTCCCATCATTAATTTTTGGAATTTAAATTGTATTTAAATAGTGTTTTTACAAAAAAAAGTGCTCTTTCAAGGTCCTCTTACCTTTTCTCAGCTTTCAACGCCATCTCATGGTTTTCAGCTGTCATGGAGATATTTACATTATTTAGGCCAATGTGCTAATTTTACTTTACTTTTCAGTGAGTAGCAGGAGGGATGAGGCTGACTTTAATCACATTTACTTGTTCACTCCACTTTGCCTCATGCCTAAAGAACAGTACCATCTATCCTTTAACAGGAACAATAAGATTGAGTGCTGTGGTAATAAAAGAGTCCCACCGACATCTCTTCAAGGACCCTCACCTAATACATCAGTGGCGGCGTGGCAGGGGCCTCGCCGCCACCTCAAAGGGACCACCGTGGAGAAAATAAACTTGGCCGCCTCTCTCCCAGGTCCAGCTGCAGAGAGCGAGAGAGGAAGAGAGATAGAGAAGGGAGGGAGGGGTCTGTATGAGAGCAGGGCCGGGATTCCCATACTTGCTAATTGTTTTGTTGGACGGCTGCCCAAACTGTGATGTGAAAAAGGTCCACGGACTGAGGGGAGGAAAGGAATCACATTGTGTTCCAGCTGATCCCATAAAGTTTCCCATCTACACTCAGGTTCCTTCAGATCACTGGCTTTATATTGGCATAACTGTTTGTCAGGGGTGATATGGCCAATGCAGTATAATAGTGTGAGGGCTAATAGTAAACAGTATATACTGCACATTCCAACATCTCTCTCTCTCTGTCTGTGCAGAAATATTAGACATATAGAAATATTAGACATATATATATATATATATATATATTAACCAATGGAGAGACAGGTGTGGTATATTATGTTTTTTTTCAGTATTCTTAATTATTCCGATTCTGTGGAAAACAACACATCACTCCTTCTCCTATGTTACATCACTACATCTAATGTCATTACTCCCCCGAAGCTCTCCCCAGGCCCCTTCCTCACATCTATCTGTGCATTTAGTATAAGACTGCCATCTTCTGGACAAAATACAAAGTGTTTTTGGACATCTTGGAACCTGACAACCATCTGCAGGCTTCCCATTGATGGCCATTTTTCATGCTGCAAAATTTTACGCATAAGTTTGAACACGTGGAAAATACACTAAAAGACACTGGTTGGACAAAAAAAGAGTGAAAATATTTACAACACATACATACATACATTTAGAGATTTATTTGGATTATTATTATTTGATTATAAAGACATGCTGATTGTAACACATTGTAAATATTTTAGATTGACGGCATAGGCTTCACAAAACAGAGCACACATTAGACTTTTTCACAGCTGCAATTTTAATATGAAATAGTGGGGTAAACACAGGTTTTACCAATGCTAATACTAATTAAGGTTCTGTTCCATTCAGGTCAAACAGAGTCAGGGTGCTTCATGTATTACATTTTGATGGATTGTTTCAAATTGGATTGGATTGACATCACATATTGAAAAGCAAGAAACCACTGAATGTGCTGTGATTATTAACATTATCATAGATTGCATTCTGCTCTGGGAGGACCAAATGTAACTCATCACCGACATTCAGCTCTAGAATAACAGCATTTGACAGGTACTGAAAAGCCGAAGTATACTTGCTTTGCAAATTAAAAACAATGGATTTCCCGTTATGAAATAGTTGAACTCCCATGCTTCCATCACTTGTATGACCACATATAGTAAATCTGAAATAGTACACTCCTTTCACTGGTGCAGTGAAGTAACCAGTTCTTGGACTGTAGCTGTTACCAACATTGGTGAAGACCTTGCTGAACTTTAGGACTGTTGCAGTATTGTAAGGCCCTACACCTGCTGAGTTTGTCAAAGCAGCATAAAATGCCACCTTTGCACTTACATTGATTAGACTATCCAATCGGTGCTCAATAGTGTTCATCCTGCCTGTTAAAGATGTAACCTCAGCTTCTTGAGCTGTGTTCTGAGCCTGCAAGTCATCCATCTTACACATTACGAGCTGTAGCTCACTGTCACCGACTGCCACTCTGGCTTCTAGGGACAAAAGTTCAGCTGTCTGGTTTTTAAGATCAACCCTCAGCTCCATGTTTACTTTCTTCAGCTCTTCCACTTGCTTCTCGCTGGTCCTCAGACTCTCCTCCATGGCAGTGTAATTTCTCTTCAGCTCCTCCAGGCTGGTTTTAGTGAGGGAAAGATCCAACTTCTGCTCGTCTGCCTGTATCTCTGTCACCCTCAGTCTGCTTTCCATGTTCAACAGCTCCATCTTCTGCACCATCACCATGTCTCTCAGAACTGTCATCTCCTCCCAAATGTCAGGGTTGTTGCTGGTCTTGCAATTTGACTGATCAGCTGTGGTATAAGGGTCCAGAGGCTGCTTTTTGTTAGGCAGGGAATTGTGGGGTTTGGTCTCCCCTCCTTCACTTGCTCGCACCTCAAGAGCCCATGAACCCAAGAGGCAAAGCATGAAAAACAGCGAAGATAAACCAGCCCTCATTATTGCTGTCTTCAGGGAAAAATGATGTATGGGTCTTGGTTACCTTGTTTTTACAAGAGAAGTAGCTGATGTCATGAAAGCTCCAGGGTGGGTTTTTGAGATACAGGTCGACAAACTCTGCTTAAAAAGGTAAAAGGTGGCACAAAGATAAATAGAGACAAGCGATAGCATTTTGGAATAAAACAAGGCCATGTGAAAAGTCCCAGGTGGTGCTTCACTGAGGAGGGTGGTGTGGTGGTGGGGTTGTTTTGGGTCAACTTGTTCCTCTGTCCTTTAAACTGGTTTTGTGTTTTTTACCCCCCTATGTTTTGTTATATCAGAGGATTTAGAACATCTTTTAAAATGTTTGTTAAACCTTTATATTTGTAATTGGATATGGATTATTTTATTGTAATTAATAAGTAAGTAGTAGCTGCCAAACATCAATAAGGAACAAAATGTTGCACAAAAAAGAGAGACTTGAGAAAATTGAAGTGAAGTGAATGAAGTGTCAGTTGAGTATTTTATGTATTTTGGTATTTTTGTGTCATTTTCTGTGTGAGAGAAGAGAAAAGAGTTGTGCTGCTTCAATCTGTTTTTTCAACTTTTTGGTCTCTGCAAAGTATGCCATGTCTGCCTATTTTTTCTTTTATCCTTTTTCTTTTTTCTGCCTATATGTTCTAAGTTAGTGACCTTACTCCCAGAAGGTGTCTTCTTAAACAATGTTTGCAATGCAGAATGTTCGCTACAAGCTGACACAGAGAGGACACAGAGAAACACTTCTGTCATGTGTTCATATCACCAATTTAAAATTCTTTATAGTTATTGGTTACAAGCGCTCTCACTTGTATACTTTCAAATATAGTTGTGGTTATGGATGGTGTTTGTTGAGGTGGGATTCCTAGTGTTTATGTAAATGTATGAAAAATGCATCATTTAAATTGTCCTTTATTTAGATTTAAACTTCTATTTAAATTAGTTGAATAAATCCATGAATTCAACTGGCACCTTGGGATTTCTCCCATAGCCCTTTTTTATCTCATGTCTCTTTCGTCCGGGCCAGCTTGTACTGTTTAATTAGAAACCCTGCCAAATGATCTATCAAGCACACATGCTGCGGCTCTCACGACAAAAGTCCAGTTAATGCTTTGCTTTGTAGAAGGAAGGTAACCAAGCCCCATACGTCTCTTTTTTATCTGTCGAGAAGAACATTATTACTATTTCAAGTAACAGTAAAACTCTATTATAGTTAATGAACTGACATGGAAAAGGTTGACCAGATATTTTTAGCAGAAGGTGGCAGCCTTATGGGTGACAAACATCATTTTGAGCAGTGGTTGGAAGCATGAAACGTTGTGGATGAATGGCTGCCATTTGACACGAACTGACATCACTACCAGCTGCGCCTCAACCTCAGTCTCTCAGTGTTTCTGTGCAATTATTTAATCTAACAGTGGATATGTAGCTTTGCACACAGATGTTGCAAAAGGAGAAACAGTGTTTAAAAATAATTTTCAGGAACCTGCTAACTGTATCTATTTGAACCAGTAGATGGCAGCAGAGGATGATATATGATAGAAAAGGTGTGAATGTCAAAAAGCTAAATAAATATGGAGAAGTGAGGAAGATGCATTGCATGGATTTTTTAGGATTTAGCGACAATGTAAGATGATGACATGGCGCAGTGATTAAATGGAGCGTACAGTATTTGGACAAATTGGAGGATCACAGTGCAGGATTGAGGAAGCGTCAAAGTAGAAACATTTAAGATTGTTTAAATGTTTTGGTAAAAGAGTGCTGACTGCTGTGGCTGATTTTTAACATTAGATATAGTGAGTGCTTTAGTGTGTCACACTCATCCCGCTCATCGTACCATTTAAAAAAATTGCCAGATACACTAACATGACTGAGGTTAGGGAACAGCTGGTGGTGGTGTCAATTTGTATCAGATGGCATGGTAGCCTGGCACAGCAGCGATCAGAGCAGAGAAGATGCCAAAGATAGCTGAGGCCTGCCCAGATCACCTACCCATGTTTATTGGCATGCTTACGTGTGTGTGTGTGTGTGTGTGTGTGTGTGTGTGTGTGTGTGTGTGTGATGACTGGCACCAGTTTGGGATTATTAAAAGGAGCACAGCAGGTGTCTGCCATGAGACTTCTGGCCTTTAGATTATTGCCGGAGCCATGTATGCAGTAAATTATCTGTATTTATCTTCCACGTTCTTCTTCTCACAGAAATAAAATGCCTTTTGCCTTTTTGCCTTTTGAAAACAGCTGGTCCAATAGGAAGAGCCTTTTTAATTGTGTTGAACCCCCTTGACCTTCCCATTAACAAGATTAGGTGTGAAAGAAAAAAAAATCTATACAGCAGCTATGTCTTCAAGAATAAATTGAAACGAGATATTATAACTGTTCTGCTATGTGTCAGTTTGACCTTTTTCTAGCTTATAGTCCATCACTGAGGTTGTGTGCTATACATAGTGTGTATTTTAATTAATTTGTTAAAATAATAATAACACCAATGGGGAAGAGCCACTGAAATACCATTAAGTATCAGAGTCACTGGTGTGTGTTTAAATTTTTTTGACAATTTGGGAAATAATAAGTGACTTCTTGAAGTCTCTGCTGGTGGCCTGAAACCCTGAAGAAATAGCAGCACATAACTCAGGTAAACACAACTAAATCTTTTTTGTATGGATTTAAAAAAAACTTTTTATAACGTGTTAATTAGTGAGCTATAGAGGTGGATTTTGTTACTTTTACACAGAGCCAGGCAAGGTGTTTCTCCCTTTTTCTGGTCTTCAGGACAAGCTAAGATAACTTGGTTCCAGCTTTATTTTAAATGGAAGCTTCTCATATAGCCCTTGGCAAGAAAGCAAATACGCATATTTTCCAAAATGTCAAGCTACTCCTTTAATTATGTAATCTTGCTATTTGCTTAATACTTATTGGTGAAAAGATAGGTTTGCATTTTATTTTGCTGGTATTTGTGAAAACTCACTTAAAAGCATTGTGGTTTTTGTTTTTGTCACTCACATCAAAGCTCAGAAAACATGCTCACACAAACACACACACACACACACACACACACACACACACACACACACACACACACACACACACACACACACACACACACACACACACACAGCTGTCAGGTAGACAAGTAGAGCAGATGAGTATCCATCTCTGCTTGGGTGCTTTCAACCATTCTCCTCCTCCTGAGCCATTATACATAAGTGAAAAACAATAAATTTCACTTTGAAACCCAAACATAAGCTCAAAGAGGTGTTTGTGTCTCAAGCCTTGAAGTACTTGCTTGCACACACAGATTTATGTAGCCTAAAGTACTTCACCGTCAGCAGACTGTGAAGGAATTTGACCTAAACATGGTGGTTGTCAGCCCATGCTTTAGCGATTACGTTACAATAATTAAAATCACTAATGTATGTGGAGGCCACTCATTTTACAAGGTAGGCAGGGAAACAACTGAAATTTGAAAGTTTAAAATTGTATTTGCAAGTGTAATTCTCAGACTAAATTAAGTATTTATTTGATATGTGGAAGACTGAGGATGGACGGTCAACTTTACTACAACATGACTCTGATTGAAAGATGATTGTTAGGCCTCCATAGAGAAGTAATTTTCCTCAAAGCCTTGAACTGCTAAGCTTATAAAATATAGTATTGTAATTGGACAGTTTAGGTCTTAGGGAGTGTTGATAGTCAAATGCAATTTGGGATCAAAGAGCAAGCAAAGGGTAAAAGAGGTCACTCTTACACACACACATCCATGCTGTAAGAGCAGTGTTAGTAGAAGGAAGGGGCGCCCAACTAAATGATGTTTTCCCAGGTGGGCACAATTACCTGTGTGTGGAGTGTGTGTGTGTGTCTCTTACACAAGCCTCGGTATGTGTGGGTCCACGTGTGTGTCTGTGTGTGCATAAGAATTATCCACATGTTGTTTTAAGAGGATTCAGGTCTATTACAATTAGGAAGACATGAATCAAAGTCAGACTCCCACAGTCCTCCGCAGACCACTCGAGAACCATCAGCTGAGCGGCAGAGAGTCAGACAGTGTCCTGATGCTTTTCTTATTATTACCACTTAGAATAATATCGTGCAGACAACTATGATACCTCAGCAGCGTCCCGGGTTTATTTAACAAGTGGCTATTCATTCACAGTTAGAGCAGAGCACTCACAAAGCCAGAGGGAGCAGGATGATGATGGGTCACTGCATAGGGGAGCAGAACACAAGCTCTCACTGTTGAGTCATGGAGTTTATGAGAAGCCGAGGCTAATCCTCAGTGAGTGTATGTGTGTGTGTGTGTGTGTGTGTGTGTGTGTGTGTGTGTGTGTGTGTGTGTGTGTGTGGGACAAAAATCCAGTCCCAGTCTGTTTGTGTGGAGGCATATGACGTGCAGGATTTCACTCTGGGAGTGATACAAACACCTGCTTTAGTGCTTATCAAACCTAGGCGGTGAGTGTGTATGCACGCGTGCGGCCTTGCGTGTGCACATCTGAACTAGCGAACATGTGTCTCATTATACGCTGAAATCACTCACAGGTGACTTTGTTTATTTGATCTCAATTAAGCCTGTGCCTCTTCCCACATGGAAATCTGACCAAGACTTTCTTCTTCTATTAATTCCAAACAACGTTCCAAGGGTTGTGGTGAAAACCCAGAAGAAGAAGAAAAAGGGAAAAAAACACATTTGTCAAAACTGTGCCCGCCCTGATGGCTGTAACAACGTGCCATTTTTATCCACACTCCACCAAAATGGGAATACCTTGGAATGCCAAGCACACATGGGCTCAATTATCATCCCATGGAATTCCGTAAAAAGTAGAGTCGACAATAAGGAAAATATTCCTCTAATCTGGGGTCTTCCTCAAGCTGGGTGTGAAGGAAATTTAGGGGGTCCCCGTTTTAATTGGGTCCAGATTCGACCACCCTATGGAAAGTGGGCCGGGACAGTTTTTTTAGTGGGGTTATTTTGTTGAAAAAAGGGACTATTTTGGTTGTATGTGAATAAATGTCTGACTTTTCAGAGGGGGTTTCTGCAAACCAGATCAGACTGCCCCAGTGTTATAGGAAGC